GCATGTCTCATTTCGTTTTGTTTTTTTTGTTTTTTTTGTTTTTTTTTTTCAGAATGTTGTATGTTTTTTTGTGTTTTTTTTTTTTTTTTTTTTTTTTCCGCTGTGTACTACCGGTTGTTCGAGGCTCTGGAATGACCGGGCTACCTGAGCCACGGGCCTTGACAACCGGTAGGTACTGGTGGTTTAAGACTATGAAGGTTCTTAGTGCTCCAAAGTTATATTGATGCTCTTTGTCTCATATTCTCAACTATTCTTAGCCAAAGTCGGGTAATGGACCTGGTATCTCAATTGCCTCGCATACGTTTCCTAATATGTTTTCTGATGGGACGTTGGGCCCAATTCCCAGCACGTGCTGCTCCCCACGAATGATTGGAGCATTGTCCTTGCCAAAAAAAATAAAAAAATTGGAGTATTGTCCGTGCCAAAAAAAGAAAAAAAGGAAAAAAAAAAAACAGAAGAAGATTCAGCCCTGACGGAATAAGCTCGACCATGAGGGGATAGGCTCAACCTAGGGTAGTAGATTCTACCCAAGCGAACGACTCTTTTAAAAGGGCCTTTACGATTCAGGCCCATAAATGTGACCCCCGTATGAAAAGGGCCCTCTCGGCCTGAACTAAATTTCACGAGTAACACTCCAAAAGACAAGTTCCTGAGGCAAATGTTGCATCCATAATAAACTGAAGAGTTGTTTTGAATAGTCACGAACAGGTCATGAACGAACAGGTATTGGACACAGTTTTCAAGACTGAGTTAGGGTCATGTCTGCTTGATGAAAAGTCATGTCTGTTCGGTAATAAGTCGAAGGCCACAGTCCCAGTCCAATCATAATCCCCGAGTCAGTCCTGATTCAGACCAGGAGTCCAAAAGACAGGCCCGATGGCCCAAAGCAGCAGCAGACCATGGGAAAAGATACTGGGACACACACTTTGCAACAACTGGTACTAGACAGGAGTCCCTGACACTTGGAGGCCGAGTTCAGACCTCGCCAGTCCAATCCAACGCTATAAAGGACTGGCCAGCCTCCTCATTCGGCAGATGCTCATTTCGCATGAGAGTGTGGAAGTGTCGTGGCACTTGTGCGCTAGATGCGTGTGAGCTGCGCTAGGCTGTGAGCAGCGCTAAGCATGAGAGAGAGAAAAAGGGTGCTGGCTGGAAGGAAGGCAGCCATAGCTGCGCCAGCGCTAGTTAGTATATTAGTAGGGATAGTCAGTAGGAGACACCAATGAGTAACATTCAGAGTAGATCCTCGTGTGATAAGGAGTGTGCATGCATGAAGGGTGTGAGAAGACCAGGACTGTAGACAGAGAGAGAGAGAAGAAAAACAAGGAGGCGAGAGAGAGAAGAGAGCTATGGTGATACTTACCTGTTGAGCGCCGATCTTGGTGATTGATGGCAAGCGTTGATGAGCATCTAGCCTGGAACACTTATTGACTGAAGAAAACATGTGTTTCTGTTGGGCGCTATACCTTTTGAACTCGTGATTCTCTCTGGCTAATATGGTTGTGATAATTGAGATGCGCTACCTGGTTTCCACTCATTTCCATTGTACTATATGTGAGCCTTTGCAATCTGCGTGATCAGTGTGGCATGCATGTTATTTGGGACACTCCAACAAGTGACGAACAGTCGAGTTCCTTGCAAATTTGGTATCGGAGCAGAACTTGTTGCACTCGCTAGGCTGCGCATGCATGATCAAGGCCGGCGAGAAGGGGATAAGCTAGCTTACGTATTGCTGGCGAGAAGTGAAGTAAAGGGAGAAGTGAAGAAGAGTTGGATTGGGATAGAAGGGGAAGGTTGCCGAAGAAGAAAGGGTTAAGGAGGAGAAGACTTACCTGCGATTGGAGCGACTGGAGCGAACGTGGAGTCTTCATCAACAACTCTAAAGAAGAGAAGCACCTCCTGCCCCATTTACCTAGTTGATTGCGTGGCCTGGTCTGGTCTGACAGATAGGACTAGAGAGTCAACATTTGGTCTTCGTGTGAGCCATCTGGTCTGACGAGAGGTACGGAAGATAGGTTGAGGCTGGGAACTTTGTACTGTCACGTCAGAGTGTAAGTGGCTAGGAACAGAGATAATCGTAATAAATTGGATTTGTTTTGAAGTAAGTTTGAGTCTCTCCCAGCTACCTACTCTAACAAAAGTGACAAGTCAAACCATCGAAGACATAGAAGGATAACATCAGCTAGGTGACTAAACAGACAGCAAGCAAACAAACAAAAGGAAGAAAAGAAAAAAAATTCTGATTAGAAAAACGTTGTATATTATTTACATTATCGAAATTCATTATTCTAAAGCAGCGACATCCAAACTTTGAAAAAAAAAAAAAAAAACTCCCATCCACTCAAGCAAACAAGGTTCAAGGGTAGCTACTTGATGGTTCAGTGGAGGTTTTCCCTGTGCTGTACCCCATCATGGATGACTATCCCATGTACGGGATGGTGGCTCTGTCTGTACTTTTGGGGCCACTATTCCGCTTCTTTCTCCCTCTCGGCTTTGAGAGAGTGTGTACCTCCCACATGATGATGAGATCCGGAACAGCAAAGCCAGGACTCTCAATGGCAGAAAAGGCAAAAATAGATCGTCGCCTGGCCGAGAAAAAGAAAGAAAAAGAAATAGAAAGAAGAAGAGTTGAGAAAGAAAACTCAGATAGAAGAAGAACGAATCAAAAAAGAGTTGAAAGAAAAAACGAAGAAAGAATTGCAAGAGGAATTAAAGACTATAAAGGAAGAAGATGAACCTGCAGAAGAAGCAAACAGACTCATCAGACGACGAACCGAAAGGGGCGAAAGCAGCCAGACTGGTGGGTTGAATATACATGTTAGGCCTCTAAATTAGTATGACCAATATAGCTATTCTAGCGAAAGGGTTGAAGAGACAGGTGAAGAACGGGACACGTTTATCACCAATTTGGCATCAATTGAAGATAAAAACGAAAAGGAACTCTTGCTGGAAGAAAAACGAACAGAACTGCACAACAAAATGTTAGCTGCAAAACGACAAGAGCTGGAAGAGAGGAAAAAACTGCAGGCAGATGGTGAAAGGTTGCAAAGAGAATTACAGGCGCAGAAAGAAAAGCAAACAGCAATCGAAGAACAACTTGGCCTCCTGACAAAAACTGTTCTTCATACAAAGTAAGAGTTGGCAGCGATGAACAAGACCTTGCAGAAAGTTGAAGCCCATCAATATGAATTCAAAGGAGTCTGGAATACCTTCTGCAAAGATCTGCAGCAGAAGTTGATCAATATGTGCAAACATACATTGTAAAACTAGATGAGCAGATCAGTAAAACTTGAACCCCCGCTGTGATTGAGAAACTGGTAAGTAGTGGCGGAGGAGATGGAGGAGATGAAAATGGTAATGGAGACGGAGATAGGAAGAAGACGGGTGTGTAGCCAGAAGAAGTAGGAGAAGTAAGAAAAATAAAGGTAAAAGTGTCGTGGACATATACCGGCAAAAAGGAAGAAAGTGTTTTGCATTGAATTGTTGCGGTTGAGTCCTATGTGTACGGGCAACGTATACCGTATTGGGACAGGGTTCTTATGACCAGTTCGTGTATGGCTGGAGATGCAATGAGTTTTGCAATTTCCATACAGAAAGAGGCATTTTGTCAGTCTATGGTAGAATTATACTAGAATATTCTCAGCAAACCCGTATTGAAGATTTTTTTAAGGCAGTTCGAGAACGATTTGAAGATAAGAACTTCACCCGGAGAACTGAGATGTTAATCTTGAATATCGCAGATAGGAAATAGAAACGTGTATCTGCACTCAAATCTACCATGGATGAACTTCTGCAATGCGTTGAGCATTGACTCACCCCGATGCAGATTCTTACAACTTTGCTAGAGCACTACCCGATCCTCTCCGCACTCAACTATATCCCCGTACCAAAGAAGAGGGGATGACCTATGAGAAGTTCAACAAGATCGCGTTAGATCATATCGGTTTCTTGGCGGAGGCAAACTAATGCCATTATTGAAAAGATTTGCAAGTCGGCAAGAAATGGCAAAATCGCACCATCTCAGGAAGTATTCCTGGAAAAGACAACCTCCTTCTAACCTTCGAAGGAGGTGTCGAAACTCTTTCCTACAGTAAGTTGCTAGGAGCCCCTAGAATCTCAGAGCATTCTAAAAATTACAGGGAGCACTATACCTGACTGACCAAGAGCGAAAGTGGGTGGAGAAGCGCTAAGGAGGTTCACCCTCCTCATTCGGAAGTAACCCTGACAAGGGCACGTTACTACAAACACAGGCACATAAGAAAAAAAAGGGAAGGCTGACGAAGAACGACACGTGAAGAGCATCCGTTAAATGAAGAACCACTGACTACAGAGGATCGCCAAAGAAAGCAAATGGTAACACAAGGGATGAAGGGGACACACGGGCCTCGAAGCATCGGGTGGACCAGATATCTGGTCAGTGAAAACCTATGCCATACGCCAAGCAGGTTGCCAACAAAAAACGCGACGTTCACACCACGAAGGTGAAAAATCGACACAGTTAATCGGGTCGAAGGCACGAGATATCTCGCGGACGTTTTTGCGAGACAGAGACTTATTCAATCGATTTACTCTTACTATTTTTTTATTTTTTTTTTAATTTTTTTTTATTTTTTTTTATTTTTTTTTTACTCCTTGCATCCATGAAGTCCAGGACAAGAGGACAATAGTATTTATACACGGGCAAGGAAACAGTCCGGCATAGCTTGAGCAGGATGGAGTAGAAGAGCTATGATGGCGTAGTGTGGTTAACGCCTGTTGGGTGATGTGGTTATTCTGCGAGAATAAAACTCCAACTACATTGCCAAATTGAGTAATACTTTGTATGAGCCTGGCGGACGACTTTGCTGTAGTACTGAGGAACGCCTGTCTGGTGCGGTGCTGCCACTTGTGCCACGTGTCACCATTTGCTACGGAGGCGGATCATCTGTACATTGGAGGCGTATGTACGGACGCAAGCGAGGCAGAGGCCGTGGTCGGTGGTCCGGTTGTTCGAGGTACTGGATGGAGTACTCGACAGGAGCACAGACTCCGACATCGAGCATTCCATGCGGCCAAACTGCACATACTCCAGCGGCCAGCCTGCCACTCCGAGCACAGCTCAGGTGCCACAGCACATGATGCAGATGTCACCGTTGCCACCGATGCCACCACCTGGATACTACCCACCGGGGTATGAGTGGCAACCTCCGAGTTGGAATTACGCACCGAGGCAGCCAAGTGCGAATCCATTCCCTGGACCAGGACAGAGAGCCTGGTTCACCAAGGAACATCTCGAGCTAATTGAGAAATGGAAAACCTGCGACGTTGCGGAAGAATCAAAGAAGATCGGACAAGTAGAATCGAGTGGCAGATCGAACACCACCAAGAACAAGCGAGGAAAGGTGAAAGAAGACGAAGATAGCGAAAGCGAAATTAAGACTTGGATATCAAGTACATTCAGTACGCCGCTTAAGAAGATTGCAACGAAACTTGAGGATGTCGACAAACGGACCGCGACGGCATTGGAGGAACGTGAGAAGGTTAAAAAGCGGGGAGATGGAGTCAATCTTGAGGCGGTGAAAGTGGAGAACGGTAATAGTGAAAAGGGAAAGAGAGAATTCGCGTCACCTATCGCGGCGAGATCTAAAGTGAAATCGTGATTGAAGAGCATTGGTAGCGCTGTGAAGATTCGACCCCTACGAATCAACATATCCGACGATGAAGAAGACGAACAAGAGGGCAGAGCAACGCCGCGATCGATGAAGGGAAGGAACCAAGTAGTACCAGGAAAGAAATGGACAAGTTAGATGAGATCAAAGGCATTCTCGTCAAACTTCTGGGGAAGATGGGTACTAAAGATTACGGGGAATTACGTACGCGCGAAGAGACGAAGCAGACGGAGGATGTAAAAGGGAAAGGAAATATGGACGAGGAAGAAAACAAAGAAAAGGAATCGGACACAGATATTGGTCGAAGCAGTAATCGCCAGACTGATCATGACGATGTGATGGAGTATATGAAGTGCAGGCTAGACTGTTATATGACCTTGAAGTGCAAGGAGATTCGGGAACTATACAAGAAACGAGAAATCGAGTGTGATCGTAAAGACAAGGCCGCATGGGAGCTCGCCAAACAAGATACCGAGTTGTTTTCCAAGTTGGTGAACAACATAGAAGAGGAAGAGAGGGAACTCTCCGAAGAGGAGGATGACGACAAGGAGGAGAAGGACGACTTTGGCGAAGAAGAAGAAGATGATGTGACGCAAAACTAAGTAGACTAACTGCCCCTACAAAACGATGTCTGCTTAGGCTGCTATGGAGACTTAGTAGCCTGGTCGAGTCGAATCTCGTAAGCAGTGACTTGCGTATAGATCTGGAGTACACCTTTAGGCTTGGGGTTATTCTCGCATGCGTCAAAGGGGTTTTAAACAGGGGTAGGACCTTTGTGAAATACTGGGCTACAATGGGCCGATCTGAACTAGAGAGGTTGAATGATGGAGAATCATGTGTCTACGCCTTGATCTCACCATTCTACAAGGCCACTTCCGTAGGCCAGACATGTAGACAATTGAGAGTTAGTTGGAATGAGCATAAGCTATCAAGTAGGAAACGTTGCACGAAGGTGCACTCTTAGTTAAATAAGAAGGGACACGCGAGCTACATTCCTATTCCTATTTGGTTCGGGCCAAGATCGGATTTAAAAGAGAGAGAAGGGATTGCCATTTCCAATGAGAACTCATGGCTAAATACACTGAAAGAAGAGAGGAAGAAACAAACAAAGAAAACAAGGAGGAAACAACGATTAAATGAGAATGGAACCGACACCCCTCCATGGAAGCCATTGCTGTTTGAATGTGAAGGCCTAAAGATCGAACCAACAATTGATTTATTTAAAATCATGAAAGAAGCAAAGACAAAAAAGCGTCCGGTGGAAATTAAGAATGAGAAACGAAAGAAATGACATAGACCATGGAAACTAATTTCGTTAGTCTATGGCGATAGTAAGATTAGGCACGAAGGAGTAGGTTGGCTCCTCAAAGATGCCAAAAAGGAAATCGAATGCGGGGGTACATGGATGCTTGAATGCTTGGTAAAAAATAAGTCGAATGTTGAAAGAAAGAAATCAGAATCATTATCACTGTTGAGGGCTCCATGGAAACGTCGGGAATTGTGTACGAAAGAAGAAAGGTGAGTTGCTTCAGATGTTAAAAGGCATAAAATGTATCAATACGCAAAGAGGCAGGCAAATAATAAGGGGGAGTTTGTCGAAAGAAATAAAGAGTCGCATTGGACTCAACCCAATGATTAAGCTGGTAGTGAAGCTACCATTTTGTACTAATATTGATAAAAATGCAATTCGAGGGGAGATATGTGACTGGATTCAGAAAGAAGTTCATTCACAGGGCCTTGCTCACCTCATGCAGAAAAAAACTACGTGTGATTTGGACGAAAGTCAAATCCGTGGCAGATATTCTGCATAATCACTGTAAGTTTGCCAAGATCGAAGGATCTTGTGTTTGTGGCAAGTGTCCAGGTGAAGTTGAGCGAGGTAGTTGGAGTGAACCCCTTCCTACACAACTCCAAGAACATACCTACCCCTGGCAGAATAAAGGATTTGCATACAGTAATAAAGGCATGTGAAAATCCGGTACTGCCTCTGCGTAAAGCTGGGATCACTTGAAACAACCTAAGAATTAAACCAGGTAAGATCTCACAGTTGAAAAATCAAACAAAGGGAGAAGTTGTCTTGACCGAGTATGTGATGGGAATCAAAGGTACATTCGAAGGACTGGTCTTGTCCACATGGATCGCAACCCAGGCGCAATGATGATTGAATGTTTTGTACAACAAGGGTATAAGGATGATGTTCAATGACAATGTTAACTACGAAAAACGCTTTTGAGGGGGAGGACACCATTCTGGGAGGAATGAGGAGGGAGTTCAAGGAACTGAATTTAAAAAAGTTGGCAGATTGGAACAGGGATGGAAAAATACAGCATGCCTTCGTGATTAGCAAGGACAAAGATGTGACAAAAAAAGACTAATTTGCCTGGCATTTCTGAGCCCTATAAGATCTGCCTAAAAAATGACGACGAAAATCTTGAATCTGTTGATCGGAAAAACGAAATTACCTCACTTCAATTTGGAATCGACCTTGAAACTGAAAGAAGGAATTATTGAAGTGAATAGACGAGTGGAAAAATCTTAAGGAAACCAAGATATGATTTTGAGAACATACAATGTAAGGGAAATGTTCACCATGATTCCCCACGACGAAATCCGTGATGCAGTACGATGGATAATCTCATAACAAAAGGACAAAGGAAAGAACTGGACAAGAGTGAAAATTCGGGGAAAAGGCGTGAGGGTGGGACGATCATCTGGGGAGGTTGGGTGGAACTAATAAGATTAAATGATATAATAAAGATGATTGATTTTTTGCTCGCACATAGTTTCTTCAGAGCGATTGACGAGATCCTGATCCAGCGGGGAAGCATTCCAATGGGAGGGCAATCAGCCCTGCATTAGCATGCCTTGTATGCATAGAAGTTGAATGAGGCTTCCTTAGATCATTGGGGAAGGACACGCATCTAGTTTTTGAAAAACGCTTTGTTGATGATCTCCTGCTCGTAACATGGCAGAATTCGGGAGAGAGAAAAAAAAAGGTTGTAGAAAGAAAATTAGATGAGATTATGGAATGTTATCACAAGGATTTAATCCTTGAAAGGACAAATGATGGATGCAATGTCATGGAATTCCTGGAAACAAAAGTGATTGTACTGGACAACCCAGCCAAAATTATGACAATCCACGAGTTTAAAAATGCTGATCACATTTGGAAAAAAAAAGTCTTCAGATATATTCTACTAGACTCCTATGGATCAAACCAACAAAAATTTGCCCCGATAACAGGAACACTACATAGGATTAGAGCCAATACCTCAGAAGACTCAGTGTTGATCATGATATTGATGACATTTCATCGAGAATTAAGCTTATTGGGGTATCCCAGTACGATCTTTGTCAAGGCATTGAGGAGAATGGCAAAAAGGGTGGGAGGGAGGGTCTGGGTTGATATGGCACGATTATTAGGGGCAATATACCCAACTAACCAAAAGCGAAAGTGGGAGGATAAGCGCTAAGGAGGCTCACCCTCCTCATTCGGAAGTAACCTTGGCAAGGGCACGTTACTGCAATCACAGACACAGAAGAAAAAAAAGGGAAGGCCGACGAAGAACAACACGTGAAGAGCATCCGTTGAACGAAGAGCCACTTACTACAGAGGATCGACAAAGAAAGAAAATGGTAACACAAGGGACAAAGGGGACACACGGACCTCGAAGGATCGGGTAGACCAGATATCTGGTCAGTGAATCCCTCTGTCATACGCCAAGCAAGTTACCGACCAAAAACGTGACGTTCACACCACGGAGGTAAAATATTGACACGGTTAATCGGGTTGAAGGCACGAGATATCTCGCGAACGTTTTTGCAAGAAAATGGACTAATTCGTTCGATTTACTCTTACTATGTTTTTATTTTTATTTTTTATTTTATTTTATTTTGTTTTATTTTGTTTTGAACTCCTTGCGTCCATGAAGTCCAGGACAAGAGGACGATAGTATTTATACTCGAGCAAGGAAACAATCTGGCATAGCTTGAGCAGAATGGAGTAGAAGAGCTATGATGGCGTAGTGTGGTTAACGCCTGTTAGGTGATGTGGTTATTCTGCGAGAATGGAACTCCAACTACATTGCTTACTTGAGTAATACTGGGAGCAACCGAGAGCAGCAGAGTTGCTTATAAAAGAGTGAAAATCAACTGAGATTATTCTGGAGTCAACATGAACTAGACCACATTACCCCAGTGCTATTCAGCAGACCATCCTACAACTGCCTCAACCCCCTATCCTAGAACTGATGCCAAGCTCTACCACGCCTCACATCCCCAACTGTTGGGTTACAGGGAAGCGCGACCCGCCCCAACTCCGGCCAGCGTCATCCTAGCAACAACTCCCGGTTAGCCATTGGAATGCCTTCCGCCCTCGGCAATTCCCCAGATTTCTCTACCAGGCCTCGAACCCCCGCTTCACGCAGGTTGCAAGGCAACGCAACCAAACCCCAGCTCCGACCAGCGTCGTTCTAGCATCGGCCAGCTGTGAACCCGTGGATATAATGGTATTGGCCCATTGTCAAACGATCCGCTAAACACTACCGCAACCATGGCTTCAGTTGTCTAGATCCCTTCCCGCACTGGACATGCTTGACCCACCCAAAGCACCTAAGCATTCCCCCTTAACCCTACTCTGGCAAGACTCATCACAACGGAGCCACCATCTTCGTTGCTTCTATGCCCTAATCCCATCCTACCAGCTAGCCCCATCACCAGCAAGATGCGTCGTATCCCTCCTTCTGTTAACTCACCACTACCTATGCAACCCCAACATGGAGGGGAGAGTTAGAGAAAAGAACCTTGGTACCCCATCCAAGTGAGTCTCTCCACATCCAATGCGAAAAAAGATGCTAGTACACTTATGAATTTATGATTCAATCAGAGATTTCAAAATTGGGAATAGGATTTAGCAACATACGTTTACAGTCCAGAAACAGGAACATACTATTGTGATTATCGATTTAGAGATTACCAAGTATGAAGTCAGCAGTTTGGAATTCAGAATCAAGAGTCGAGAGATATCATTAAGCAGAAAAATTGAAATTTCAAAAAAGTGGAGAAGTACTATTGAAAGAAATTTGGAGTTTGGTTAGGAATTTGTCAAACAGGAAATTCAAGTGAGAAGTAGAAAAACGAAGTCAAGGATCAAGAACATCCACTTAGAAGTTGAAATTTCAAAAAAGTAGAGAAGTATTATTGAAAGAAATCCGAAGTTGATTGGGAATTTTGTCAAACAGAAAACTCAGGTAGGAACGTAGCAATCGACCCACTCAAGCCTACAAACTCGTCATCATCAAGAAGAATGTGGGAATCAAATACAAAAAAACTTTGAGATAGTGTGGCGAGAACTATTGCCTATCTAACGGATTTTGACCCCTTCCTAAAAAAACGCGAATAACACGCATTATCATCTCTTCAAACTGTGAACGGGCGGCCTCCAGATTCATGAGACACAAACAGACAACCATCTCCAAGTGCATGATACTGACAACGTCCATCGCAGAAAATCTCCCACCGCCATCACCATCTTCAACTTCGTCGCCCTGTTCGCCACATGATGCAGCTCTCCTTCTTCCGCCCAAACTCACCTCCCACCACCTTCGTAAAAGAGGAACAACACCTTCCCTCCCCTGCTGGCAGCTGTGCTGGTC